TATTATAGATAGAGCATATGGAAAAAGGTAGTGTAGCCGTTTAAGAAAAAGGAAACATTATTAACTCACCAACGTTGGGGTCTAGCTGAGCCTTGTTAAGGTTGTCGACAATCTCCTTGATGGACGAGATTGTCCCGTTCCTATATTATTTACCAATCCGCATCAGCTTCTATGATCTTACTCCAAGGTTTTCTCCTTAAGCATTGTATTTTATTGTCCTTTTGAGGGACATGGGTAAACACAAACTACGTATGGATGGAGGGGTCCTACATCTTGAAGTTGCCGCCAACGAAGAACTTGCGCGCCATGATGGGCAGTAAGATAGCTTAAGCTCGGATGGGTAGATAAGATATTTTCGATTGGAATTTCGAGGAAGGAAGATTGCTTGAAATGAAGAGTGAAGACAATTAGAAAATAACGCGGAAGTAGCAGGAGGAGAAGGTTCGGGAGTGTTTAACGAGAGTAAAAAACAGGTGATGTTTAATTCGATCTCATAGGTACAGCCCACTTTCCTATAGGCGGGGTCTTTACGTATGAGGATGTGTCTGAAGGTACATGTACCTACCCGGCCTACCTAAGGTAACCCGTGGGACAGCTCGTGAAAGCCGTGAACCCCGCTATATCGTCACTACGAAATCGCTCATCCGCAACTATCATAGTATCTTCTACATGTGCAAATGGCGTAGACTGTGTATTTATTCCCGTACCGGATACTTTCGCATCCCCAACGGGTCCCTCCTATAAGTGTACCTAAGGTAACCTACATATAGGTAGGTAGGTACCCATGTAGGCAAACCTTAGGCATGTAACGTCAAGCTTCCCGTCACCTCTTTTACCTCTTTTATACCAGTACTACAGTATGTAATATTATTATAACTCAACAGTCTCATACAAAAACATGTTATTCACCCCACCAGAACAATTCAATAATGAAAACGTCGCCTCCTCCTCCTCCTCCTCCTCCTCCGTGGCAAACTATCCTCGCTATCAGAATCATCCGTAAGGTAAGACTCTTCATACGGTCTATCGCTATATCTCAAGTGCGATGGCTTCTCTCGGTCGAACGGATCTTCCTCTAAGACTGACCCTTCATGCACGAGATATTCAAATTCTCTTCGCCGACGGCTGTCCACTCGTCGCAATACTGCATCATAGTCATCATCTTCATCCCCAATAGACAAATCATTGAGACGCGATATTTCATCATCAATGTCCCCTTGTCGATCAGAAGTGGGTATATACCTTCCATATGGAGCCGTTGACAACCTCGACCCAGAAATAATGCGTGGATTCAGCCTTGAGTGCCGAGCTTCACGTCTCGCCCGTTCATTTCTCTCACGGAGGACGCCCGCCAAGTAGGCATCATCTATAACTCTGTGGATATCAATAGATGACGTTCTCCGGGGCGGCATCGTAGCTCCGTGTCCGATATCAGAATGATTGTTATGTGTTCTATGATGTCCTCTGTGGTGTTCAGATAAACCCTGACCAAATCCATTCCGGTCACGCTTTCTACTCAAACTCCGAGCCGCTACATGATTCTTGTTACGGCCTCGTCCGCGGCCTCTACCTCTATTGAGTGATTCAGATGAGTAGGATGTGTCTAGAGTCATCTGGCTATCAAATGATCTATCCGACGATGAATAGTCCGAGGAGTCTGACTCACTTTCAATCTTGGTGTGCTTCACGCCTGTAGACCTTACTTTCTCGCCGCTGCCACCTGCCGAATTATTCATAGGAGGGCCTTTAGTTCCCGGTCCCGGCCTTGGCCCTGGTCCCGACCCGTTAGGATGTGATGGGATCGGCTGTGGGCGACTGGTATTTGGCCCCAATGGCGGTCTACCTTCTACGGGGCCTGGGCCTGATGGAGGTGTTCGATGGTCCGGACCATGGTATGGCTGTGGCTGCGGCAGCGGCTGCTGTTGCTGTTGCGGCTGTTGCGGTTGTGCGTGCGGATGGGTAGTGTGATTGTTCTGTGAGAAGCGCATTGTTCTTCTCGCTTCGTAAAGAGCAGGGATATCAGCCTCGGCCTTAGGCACACGCTTAAAGTAAGTAGTCAAGGAGACCCTCTTGAAGGACCTTGGGGTATTCTCCTTCTCATGTCGATGCGCTCGCCTCATGGGTATACTATAATGTCTTCGGGATTGCGGATGGTTTCCTGCAGGCACAGAAATGTACGGCTTGATTTCCGCGAGTTGGTGGTCCAGTTGTACAAGCACCCAATAATAGTTCATTGGATCCGGATTTTGTAGCCTGAGCTCCTCTGTTACTTTGTCGATTTGTCGCTGAAGGACGGGGTTTAAAGTTTTCAACTTGTCGGTGGGAGCCCGGGTCTTCCTATTCAGATATTGAATCCGACGCCTTATCTCCTCAGTTGACATGCTCTGAACCTGGGATATGATCGCCTGGTCCCATGTAGGATGTCGCAGTCGTCCTTCATCGTCATACCGACTTTGTGTTGGGTATTTCTCAAACCGTAAAAGGATATACTCTGCGAGCTCTTCTCTCATGTCGTCTATAGTCATAAGGCCACGTCTGACGTCTGAAATCTTAACGGGAGGGAACCCACCGCGCGGCGGGAATGCTTGCTGATGCATGGACACTTGCGGCTGTCCTACCGGACGACCGCCTGATCCCGTAAGAGGCGTAGGCACTTGAGGTCTGTGGGGTCCGTTGAAGGGTGGTGCGCCGTGGTTTTCGGTCATCTTGATAATATTGCAGCTGTACAACTGCTATTGCTCGAACAAGAAACGTGCACAAGACAGAACTATCGACGTCTAGTTGACTCAGGGTATCAGGCTTTTCGAGTCGTATATTAATAGAGCAGGTGCAGGGGGCCAGGACATGAATTAGGTAACTCGCTTTGAGGTGTATTTCTCAATGTGCAGAAAGTGATGGATCTGGTTCCCCGTAGGGACGCTGTGGGGGAGGTCTTGAACATATACATTTCAAGCAGAGTGATCATAGGCCAACAATTCTCTGCATTCTAATACTACTATAAAAGGAGGAGTATTAGAAATCTGGGGATTCACAGCTGCTTGGCTTGCGATAACTTCACATCGTCCACCTAAGAACTTGTGGCTTCCCTCCCTCGTCGTGAACTTGTGTAGGTGTGCCCTATGATCGCCCGGTGGTCGCCCGGTCTGTATAGCCTTGTGCTCGGTCTATAGCCCTCGTCATCCAATAGTGGCCCGAGGAGACAGAACATCGGCGCCCTAAAATTCAGTAAGCCATATTTCAAATCAATCGACTTCGATCTCCTAGAGTTCCACGTATGATATTGACACGTAGTCCATCATCGGTTCTTTCTCTAACTGGGCGGGCTTTGGGGTATTAGATCTAGGACTCTAAAATTGATACCAAGGCTGGCGGATCAACGACATCCGCATAACTAGCCTTAATTATCGTCAGCATGGTCTGCAGCTATATGGGGGGGGTAATACTAGGAAAGTTTCGTATATGTGAAGTATAAACGAGGTGCCGACAGCCCCTTTCTGCATGCCTACCGGATTTTTATCATATCTCATGTAAGTCTAGCCTCATCTTAGGAATACACGCATCCATTTACAATAGCCTAGTTATCGATCATATCATGGGGGGAAAAGCCAATGCTTATCATTCGACAAAATCCAAGCCGAGTCTTTCAACCAACCATCTAACTCTGCTCACCGAAACGACGAGGCTCCCTGGCCAAGCGCTATAATCATGCAGCACGCCCAGTGAGACCTAAACTGCGGGTATCTTTACGATATACCCGACTCGTCTAGCGAGGCTCTGCGATGAAACGGCAGCAGTTCCGATAGTCGCCCCGAGGCGAACAATATACAATTTAAATATCAAGGAATTCTCATTATCACTAGCCCGATTCGCGGCATGAACTATATGCAACCTCCTATAATTGGATATATTCCCGTAGACGACATATGCCCAAGGCAGCCAGTAAGGTTGTTTTAGCGGTTCTCTAGGACGGGTCAGCCAAACAGAAACGCCCTGGTCTAGCCTACGTATGTCATCTTTCTTTGCAGTGTCGGGGGCCGTGAAATCAGAAGTAGAGCGGGAACTGCCTCATCCCAGTCTATGCTAGGTTAAGGACATCCCTGCTTATGTGCGACTTTGGCTCCTGTGTCGATCTAGACTCTTGATGAGGCTTCATCTTTATCCTATCGTCTCTGCGGATAAACTAAAACGACTCCGAAACTCCTTTGATCATGTTTTATTATCCCTTGGCGAGTTCTTTTGTCTTTGAATTGAAACCTATTGAGATGTAGATTACCACATATTTACCGAATTAGTTGCCGCGAACTACGCCACCTGGTAGACACTTCTTATGTATGCTGAGTTTGACGTAGATAAGGGCGTCGATCTTTGATATGGGCTTACATATAAATCATTCTTAATGGAGGTGTGTGCCGGTTCTTCATCGCCCAGTTACATCTGACCAGAGCTAGAAGCCGGCATAAATAGAGCGAGAAGTGAGGCTGCATGAATAGATGGTTTCAAGACCAATGCAGATAATTCTCACGGGGTGAATAATAACAAACAGTTCGTCTAACGTATTCCCATAGAATCACACTTGTGCCTGCTGACGATGAAAAAATACGATATGGTCCATGGTTACAACCCTTGACCAATATACGTTCGTGGAAGCATCGAGTAGCTAAGGAAGACTATGTAACAACCGAAATTGATATTGATTAGAAGTCCCTTTGATACGTAACCCAGCTGTGAGTATAAGCGAGGATTGGATAGGGAACGGGCGGTGACTAGTTGCGAGGATGAGATTATAAAGTAGCTCTTTGATAATGTAATAAGCCAATGAATTAGTTTCAGTTATATCTTATATTCCTCACATTAAATGCGTTTTCTATTAAAATAATATTCTAAGTGTCGTGCTATGTGTGGTATGTGTGGAACTAACGCCCGTTATGTGGTTCTGAGCGGAAGTAAGGAATATAGAGCTTATTTGAGCGGAGAAAGTTTAACCCTGGTGGAGGAACTAAGGCACTTTGGCGGAGTGGTTAACGCGATGCCCTGCTATGAACTAAGTAAGTAGTGGAAGGCATTCCCTTCGGGGGCGTGTGTTCGAATCACACAGGTGTCGACTGATTTCTTTTTTTCTTTTTCACTTTCTCCCTGAGTATATAGTTAATTAGTTATAAGATAGATAACTAACTAGGTATGTTAGAGAGGTAATTATATAACTAGTGGAATTGTCATCATGTAACCAATTTCCCCATCTCATCGTCTCATCAAGAAGCAATTTTACAAAAATCAACTATATTAAAACACCATTCAACAACCAACGCGTATAGCAAATACCATATTTGTTCCCTGCAATGTGTAAAGTTTGGACGTTAAACCTCGAAGGCTTCTTCCAGGATACTTGCGTCTATAAGCGTAGCCAAAGAATCTCGTGAAAACGCCTCCCGTTTAGCATAGGAAGCCACAAACTTGTCTTCTTCGACTAGGACCTCCAGAATATCAGACGGCATGTGGACACCCCACCTATGGACAGGCCAGGCTGCTTCGAGTATAGTTCTATTAGTCTTAACAGCTTCTGCAGCTCGAGTGATAACCTTCTCAGGTTCGCTCTGGAAAATATCGTCCGCCTGTTTCAAGGCCTTGAAGAACTGTACTATTGCAGCCCTCTTATTAGGATCATCAAGCCTTTCAGTCGTGGTGGCGAGGTTATATATCTCTCGGTACACGGTCTGATTGTCCCCAAACACGACTGCATCAGGGCCCAGTGTTTCGATTCCAAACTCAACAGACGGTTCCCACATTCCAATAGCATCAATAGTACCACTTCGAAGCATGGAAGGGAATGTATTAGCAGCGCAGGGCTCCTGTAAGCACCCGAGCCCGTTTACGACAGTGTAGTCTGCTGGTCTCAACCCCGCCGTTGCGAGGTACGTCTGGACAAAGTATTCTGATGAAGTGGTCCTCAGGGCCCCAATTCTTTTTCCCTTGAGGTCCCCCAGGGTGGTAATGCCAGACTTCTTGTTGGCCACGATACGATAGTATACTTCTACGACTGTGCCAATCGTTCGCAAGTTCTCATGGGAACCAAATTGCAGTAGCAGCTGAGTCTCGGAGTTTGACCCAAGATCGACAGTCGAATCGCTAAACAAGCTCGAGATGCCCCCATTTACAATGTCAACAGCACCATTGAAGAAGTCCTCCTTAGCAATGAGCTCCGGTGTCCATTCTAGAACTCCCAGTGCACTTGCTATTTTGAGTGAAGTAACTAAAGGGGTATTAATAAACAAGGCGGACAGGAAAAGAAAGTACGATTGACGCATGATGGATGTCTTTGCAAAAGTGTAGATAACTTACCTGTTTGAAATATAAGAGGGACGAAGGAAACGAGAAAGAGGTTATATAGCAAGCGCACAGGGAAATATCGAAACGAAGAACAGTGAACAATGCCAAAATAATGATAAAAAAACGTAATAGGCTACATCGACTAGTTTTACCGGCATCATATTCACCTCGACGTAAAGTGCCATGCGGGGATATCGATCGAAATAGGATAGAAATTTCGGCACTGTAAGGAATTGAATAAATTGAACCATCAGAAACAATTCGTGATGGCGAACAAAAAACGATGGCAACTTCGTGCGTTATCTTAGTTCCTTAGACCTCGCCAAGTTCTTGAGCCATTGGATTGTCGGTCTATGTGTTCGCAGTCCTGAAGCACGAAATGAACATACGATAAGATAAAATTTGAAATTGTAATGCAAAAATAAAATTTAATTAATATGGTATTGTTTTTTTTAAAAAATAATATAATAATCCATGACGAAGTCATGAAATTTTATATTGTTCAAAATGGAAATTACTATGGGAAATTGATAAGGTAATTGATAAGGTAATTGATAAATATTATGTAAATAATTGATAAAAAATTTAATTGATAAAATAATTGTCATGGATTTAATAATTACGCGTAATCGTTTTGTTATAATTTTAATAATTGAAATATTTTTAAAAAATATTTAATATAATAATTAAATATTAAATATTATTATATTATTGAAAAAATTTAATTATTATTAAATAATTTATATAATAAAAATAATTATTAAATTGATTTTAATAATAATAATATGAATTTATTTAATATATTTTATAATTAATTTTTTATTAATTATTATATATAATTAATTATTTAAAATTTTTAAAATTTTATTTTTAATAAAATTATAATTTAAAATTAATTTTATATAAATTTAATTTTAATTTTTATTTTATTATTATATGATTATTATTTTAATAATAATTAAATTAATAATTAAAATTTAATTATTATATATTTATTTTAAAATAATAAAATTATTTATATAATAAATATATATATAAATGAAATTAAATAATTATTTATTTTAAAAATAAATTTATATATAAAATTATTATTTTAATTTAAAAATCATTTAAAAATATATTTAATTTTAAAATTAATTACGTAATATTTATTTTAAAAAATTATTATTATTATTATTATTATTATTATTATTATTATTATTATTATTATTATTATTATTATTATTATTATTATTATTATTATTATTATTATTATTATTATTATTATTATTATTATTATTATTATTATAAATATTATTATATTTTATATAATTTAATTTAATTTTATTATATTAATTATATTATAATTTTCGTTTTAAATATTTTTTTATTTATGAAATTATATTTATTAATTAATAATATATATAATAAAATTTATATTTAAAAAAAATTAATTTAAAAAATAATTATATTATTTATTTATTTATAATTATTATAATATATAAAATTTATTTATAATAAAATTATAAAATTTTATATTATTTAAAATAAAAATTATTATAAAAAATTAATAAAATAATTAATAAAATAATTAATAAATATTACGTAAATAATTAATAAAAAATTTAATTAATAAAATAATTATTATAAATTTAATAATTATATGTGATTATTTTATTATAATTTTAAATTTTTATTATATTTAATTTAAAATAAATTTTAATAATAAAAAAATATTAATTATAATTATTTAAATAATAATATAAAAAGATATTATTTTTATTTTAATAAATTTAAATTATATAAATAACGGCCCCACATGTGGGTTTAATTTTAAAATAAACAATTGTTTCGCAATTCCCATTTATATTTATTCCCACATGTGTTCCGTTATGTAATTAATTTTTTTTTCCTCATTTCACGATAAATACATAATAATCAATTAAATTACAACTTTATCTCGTTACAATTGTGCTTATTGTAATTATATATAAAATTTATTTTTTTATATTTTTTTTATTATAAATATTTTTAATTAATATAAATATTTTTAAAAAAAATAAAAATATCGAACGTAAATATGATTTAAAAATCAAATATATGAAATTATTTTTTTAATTAAAAAATAATTTAAAATTAAATGAATTTATTAAATAAAATATTATAATAAATTATAAAATACGATTATTTTATAAAAATTATATATAATTATATATATATTTTAAAATTAAATTAATATTTCATTAATATAAAATTTATTAATTAATTAATAAATAAAAAATAATGATAATAATAAATTTATAATTAAAATTTAAAATATAAAATAAAAATATAAATTATTTTATTTAAAAATAAATTTAAATAAATATAAATAAAAAATATATAAAATAATACGTACGCAAATATAATAAAAATAAAAATATAAATGAAAATGTTATTTTTTAAATATATAATATAAAATTATAAATATTATAATAACGTAAATATTTATTTATATAAAAAAAATTAAAAAATATAAAATTAAAAAAATATATTATAAAATGAAATAAAAACATTTCATTATATTTTTATTTAATAAAATTATAAATGAATTTATTTAAAATATTAAAATATTTTTTAAATAATTAAAAATAAAATTATTAAATAAATAAATATTTATATTATAATTTTTTTTTAAAATATATAAATTTATATTTATAAAAAAATAATATAAATAATAAATAAAAATTTATAATGTTATTTAATTAAAAAAAATTAAAAATTTAAAAAATAAAATTTAATTAAAATATATTTTTAATATTTTAATTATAATAAATATAATTATAATGAAATAAAATTATAATTTAATTGATTATTATATATTTATTATAAAATAAAAAAAATTCATTATATAATAAAACGTATATGAAAATAAATATAAATGGAAATTACGGAAAAATTATTTATTTTAAAATTAAACCCGCATATAAAACCGTTAATATTTTTTAATTAATAATAAAAACAAATCTTTTTACGTTTTAAAATTTTTTAAAATATTATTAAATTTATTGAATTTAAATAATATAAATGATTTAAATAAATAATATAAATTAAAAAAATTTAAAAAATTAAAATATATATATATATATATATTAATTAAATTTATTAATAAAATTATAAATTTAAAATAAAAATATTTTAATATTAATATTAATAAGTTTTTTTTAAAATATTATTAAAATTAATAAATATATGAAAAATTATTTTATTAATATTTTAAAAAAAATTAAATATATTAAAAATAATATTTATAAATATAAACAAATGAAAAATAATAAACATTATTATAAACATTTATTAATATAATTTTTTAAATTTAATTATTAATATGAAAATATATAAAAATATTATATATATTTAATTATATATATATTATAATAAATAAAATTTATTATAATTTAAAATTATAATAAAATGGTCACGCATAACAATTAAATTTATAACAATTATTTTATTAATTAAATTTTTTATCAATTATTTATATAATATTTATCAATTACTTTATCAATTATTTTATTAATTTTTTATAATAATTTTTATTTTAAATAATATAAAATTTCATGATTTCGTCATAAATAAAAAAAAATTAAAAAAAAAATATAATAATAATAATTTTATTTAATATAATTTTAAATAATTATAAATTATATGAAAAATAAAAATAAAAATTAATAATAAATAAAAAACTATAATTTTTTAATGAATTATAAAAATAAAATATAAAATTTAAAATATAAAATTATTAAATTAAAATATTTT